GTTCTCCAATAGTGTGCTCATTTGCTCTCTTCCTGTATAGACATAAGAAAACCCACAGTTACTGAGTTGGAAATGGGGCTAATCTATTGATTACAAAGGTCAACAAAAAAAAAATCTTTTTGTAATCATCAGAAACCACAACACACTTTTCTAAACCAGTTTTTGAGGATGATTCCAAATCTGCTTTCAGGTTTTTTGTTTTTTTTTACAGTCACAACAACTTTTTGAATTATGAGTAATATTAGTTTGCAATGGACTTGCATGTGTTTTTTAATAAACCAATCTTTAACTGTTTCAATATTTTCAGTGCGAACTCAGATAGGCGCACACTGTGGCATAGATGTAATGGTCATTGTCAGAATCAGAATCAGAAAGGGTTTTATTGCCAAATGTTGAGCAGGTCAACAACATTAGGAAATTGCTGCGGTGCTTCAGTGCAAACATACTGTCATAAATTGCGCTTAAATAGACATGAAAAAAATAAAAGTAAGAATAAGAATTGTCAGGAATTGTCGGGTAGCTAGCACTGTTTATTCAAAATCTCTTGGCATATGATTTTCTTGTGTATACTTTATGGAAGAAGTGTTAGCTTTGGGAAAATAAGGTTCTTGGTCTTACCACTTAGAAAGATTTGTGTTCTTGCAGCTGTATCTGGAACCATATCTGTTTCAGGAATGGCACTCTTGATGATTTCCACTTGTTTGCCATCTAATCGAAGAGACAGATAAGAAGTTAGTGGATTCTGAAATGATTGTATATAAAATAAACAAATAAATAATGAATAAATATATTTCGTTAAATATAAGTTATATATATTTCGCACATTGCAACTATTTAAACAGTAAAGTTACCTCTTCCTTTCCTAGCAGGGTCTAATAGTAGAGTTTCTGTATTATACGTCAGTACACCTGGAGGCTGAAAAAACAGTAGTTTTAAGATAAGGAGTAAACACTGTCTGAGTAAATTGCTAATACAGATAATTGCCTGTTAAAATCACAAAGAATTGATTCTGTTCATCTTGATCTTGCGTTTTCAGTGGGAGAAATGTTTCGTCACTCTTCCAAATAATTTCTTCAGTCTCAGCTGATTGCAGGTTTCCCCAACCTTATAAACAGTATATATTTATGTCCAGATAAAAAGAATCAATTTGGGTGGCTTTCCTTACCTGGATGTTTGAGCAGGCATCAATGCATGTTGAAATGTTTTTAAATATTTTCTTGGTTATTTTACTCATACTAATTTAATTTGTTGTAACTGCCCTTGAGTGTCAACAGAAGGTGTATTGGAGACAATTAGTGGTCTGAGACAGAAATGAGAGGTTCAAACCATTCTCATATGATATATCGAGTGCTGCAACAAATCTTTCTTACCACTACCCGCAGCATCTTCCTGATACCATCACTGCCACCATCTCTAACAGCTGCTTTAATCTCAATAGGAAAAAGTCCTTCCTTCATGGGGATAATGGTAAATGCTACAGCCCGTGTTGTTCCACTCCCAACAGTGACCTCCTGACGATACTTCCCGCGCTTATGAGCTGCACTGCACAAGTTGGTTTCTTCTTTCAGATCCACACGCACCTTGAAATGGGTAAAGATGGACGGTAGATTTTTTTTAAAAGCCACGACAAAAACCTAAACAGGTGGAAAACAGACAATGCAGATACTTTGCATTGAATATGGGATCACTGAATAATTCCATGACTGCGAAAGTCCCATATGATAACATATAGTTGGCCCACCACCATCATTCAAATTTTAAGTGTAGAGATTAAAAGATGCTGGTTGACATGTTTTAATAATCTCATTCCTTAGGGATTTGCAGAAACTACTGTCACCAGTGTTGGGGAGTAACGGAATACATGTACCGCCGTTACGTATTTAAAATACAAAATATGAGTAACTGTATTCCGTTACAGTTACCGTTTAAAAAGGTGGTATTCAGAATACAGTTACTTTGTTGAAATAAATGGATTACACTGTGGTACTTTCCTGTTTCATTTTGTCGCGGGTCAGGACTGTTTGGGTTTTGTTTGACAGCTACGTTCTGTTGTTCCAGGCGGCAGCGTTACGGTTGCCATGGTTACAGGGCGACGCTCTCTCTCTCTCTGCGACTTGTGTTTCCTGGGTGAGAGAGCGCCTTTTCGTTGTTGTTGTTGTTGTGCTAAGCTAACAGGCAGAATGCTACAAGCATAGCTCTAAAGAATGTAGCATCATGGGCAGTGTAGTCCGTGTTGCAGGGAGAATGGACTGCCATACACGTTATGTGTCTGTGAGCGCGAGGAGGGAGAAAAAGGGGAGTGGAAAGGTACGAGTTGTCATCGAGCAAAAACGGGAGCTGGAAGCATGTAAATATAATAATAACCACTTCAGCCAAGAAGAGTGCCTGACGAGCCCAGTTGTAAGTAAGCTATTAAGACTCGACTGTACACCGTGTTCGTGTTTTCCTCCGAAAACAATAAGTTCCGTTGGAGCAGTCTTTCAACGCCTCTCTCTGTCTCTCGCAAGAAAAGTTGACCCACACAACAAAGTAAAGCTATTTTTCGGCTACGAGCCGACAGGGACCCCGCCGTATTAGTCAGAGGTCCCTTTACTACAGTTCGGAGTCGCGGACCTTCAGTAATAGTAATAAATCACACAGCAATAGTACATTCACGTTGTTGTAAAAAGCATGATAATATATTAAGTAATCCAAAGTATTCAGAATACGTTACTGTCATTGAGTAACGTAACGGAATACGTTACAGAATACATTTTGGGGCATGTATTCTGTATTCTGTAGTGGAATACATTTTAAAAGTAACCTTCCCAACACTGCTGTTACCCTTGACACTAAATCATATTTTTTAAACATCAGTTTCATCAGTCCTCTTGGCATCTTGGCATGGCATTTCCAGCAGTTCTAACTAATTCTGCACATTGGGGTTTAATAGCACAGACTCACTCTGATAGACTCTTCTTCATAGTTGTGGAGAATTGCTTTAATTTCCAGCTGCTCTCCACGGACTGCAGAGTATGGCAGTCTGAGATCAATGAAGAATGTCTTCTGTACTAAGATCTCTAAATCATCATTCACACAGATACCTTCAAATGAGAGACAAATAAACATAAAACAAAAGCAAAAGAAAGCGCAAGACATTTGTGAGTGGAAATATAAAATACAATTTATGTTAAATCTAAAAAAAATAACACGAGTTGTACTTCTTCACTTTAGGAAACAACTGTAACAACTTCAGCCAACTGAATACTTTAACTCTTCAGTTTTATGTTGTGAGTTGTGAGCTGTGCGTGATACGCTTGACACCAAACCAAATTTTTTCATCTTTCTTTGGCCAAATGTACATATTGTATAAAAATGTTTACATATAGTTTCAGCTTTCTGTTGAACTGATAGATCAATATATATATTTTTAAAAGCTAAGGTTGGTGTAACAATTTCGAAACAGGAATTGTACATATAAAAAAGAAAAATTTGTGCACAGAAACAATTCTCACCATGAGTCCTCGACATACTAATGCCAGTAAAGTGCCAGGCTGTAATTGAGTCAGGTAAAGGTATATCATTTTTCTCAAATGTTGTACGGCTGAAATAGAAAAGTCCCATCAGTTTCAGTGGCAAAAAAATTCCTTAGAGAAGTGGAACGAGTTTTTGTGCATTGCTTTTTTATTGGCTGTACTTACCAGTTTTTGATGTTTTGAGTGCAATTTGGTAGTGTGAAGTTAATCCAAAGCCAGCTTTCGGGGAAGCTCGTCCGAACAGAGATTTCATAGCTGTTTATGTAATCATCATAAAGCTCATCTAAAAGATGTGATCAAAAAGTACTGTTATACTTTTTATATGATGAGAATGAGTTTTTAAAAACTAGCATACAACTAAATATATAAACTAATATACGTGATCTACCCAAAAAGAGTTTTCCCATCCCCAGTCCCCATCTCTTACTGCGAGCCAGTTTGAGGGCTTCCACTTTCCTGTCAACATGCACTTTTTCCATCTCCTTGCAGCAGTGAAGGAAAGCCTCTGCACAGCCTGGACCACCCACAATATAGTCGCGTCGCCTCTCACAAATGTATGGAACAGGAACATCCTTCATGCCATCTAAACAGCACTCAATTTGTTCTTTGTCCTGATATTTAGATACTGAAAAAAGGAAACCACAGAGAAAAACCTTTAGATTACAGAGTTTAAAGTTCATTAAGAATGATCATGTACAAAGGGACGGTGACATTTATGTCTGTAAATATTTTAACATGACAATTTAACAAATAAAGTGACTGTGACAGTGGTCTGTGGTTTTATTTTCCAGTTCACAAAAGGAGACTTTGAGTAATGGTGAAAAGCTTGAATGTGCTTTGCTTGATGGAAAAGTGTGGTGGAGTGCACAGTGCTAAGTTTATGTAGAGTGTGTGCAAATGGGTGAATATAGTCTGATTATTTATTTTCTGTCTGATATTTCATTTTTGTTATAATCACTGGTCACAGTTATCATGAGACTCTTACTGGAAATTAGTTAAACCAGTATAAACTTGTTTAAAGAATTTTTTTCACAAGACAAATGCTTGATGTAGATATGCAGGAGTGAACCAGAGCAAAGTCAAGAAACAATAGCTCTCATAGATAGATGATGCCACAAATGCATGAAGTCTAGTCAAGTCAAGTCAAGTAAAATATATTTATAAAGCACATTTAAGAAAACAACTGTTGACCAAGATAAAAACATAGGAAGACATGACAAAAGTTAAGAAAATAAGAAGATTTGAGTAGGAACTAAGATAAATAAAAGTCATACAAACTCATTCTGATATAAAAGCTTAGGAATAAAATTGGGTTTTCAGACAGGCTTTGAAAGTGTCCAATGTTGGGGGGGGGGTCCTGATGTGAAGGGGCAGTTTGTTCCACAATTTAGGAGCAGTTACAGCAAAGGCCCCATCTTCTGTGTGCTTTAATCTGGACCTCGTGACAGCTAGGAGCATTTGACCCACAGACCTCAGTGATCTTGCAGGAGTGTACCAATTTGAAAGATCAGAAAGCTATGAGGGTGCTAACCCATGCAACGCCTTAAATACAAATAATAAAATCTTAAAATCAATGTGAACTGGCAGGCAGGGCTGGCTTACATGTGCCAGTTAATAACCGTGCTGCAGCATTCTGGACCAGCTGCAGTAGGCTACCTGATGACACACTGACCAGAGTAATGACTATTACAAAAGTCAAGGCGAGATGAAATGAAGGCAATAGCCCTCTCAAAGTCTCTAAAACAGAGACATGGCTTCACTTTCGCAAGTAGCCGAAGATGAAAGAAACTGGTCCTGATTGTAGCATTAATCTGTTTATCAAACATTAGATTACTGTCAAAAATCACTCCTAGGTTCCCCGCAAATAGTTTTTTATACATTTCTAAGGGGCCAAAGTAGTAATCGTCACAGGAACAAAACACAATGACCTCTGTTTTCTGAAACTGTGCAACTTTTTCCTTGTTTTTCTTCTAATAACTGTGCACTTTGTTTTTACCTGCCAACTGTCTGTGAACTTTGCATTCAAATATAAACCACCATGACACTTTCCTGCATGCGGTCAATCAGCACAAAGGTTCTCATCACAACAACATGCTTCTAGGAAGTGGTTTCAGCAAAGCAGCAAGCTTAAAGAAACTAGTAAAGTAAGTGGGATAGACAGTTCATTCTGTCAAAGACAGAATAGAAATAGCAATGTCTATCTTTGGCAGTTTAGGATACTCACTCAAGCTGGTTCTGAGGTCAATCAAAGTGGTAGATCGTTTCCTTCTGCTGGTGGCAGGACACTTCAAATCTGAGTTTTGAAAACAGAAAAAAGCACTCCCTTTTGCAATCCTAAGACATCGGTTACAGTTTAAAACACATTCAAAACATAGTCGCTCGAAATGGCTTATTTTCACTTTCATATAACACTACTTGCAGCTGATTATGGGATATCTATTAAGGAAGAAATTTAACAAACTGACTTGTTACAGCAGTGGCAAATTCAGTGAGCTCTTTAGATGCACCCGTTCTTTCATAAATGTTTGATAAGGCAGACTGCATGGCTAGAGACTGAAAACACCCGAATTCCAAAAATAAGAGATTATATCATATTCTTTATTTTCTCCTAATAGTTTATGTTAGAAGCCACTAAAACACAGAAGTAGGAACTTAAAGGTTATAGTTAACGCTTTAAGGCAACCAAATTATTCATTCTAAGTCGATTTTGAAAGTAAGCCTTCACTTTTTGGCAGATGCTTCTTCTAATGCTTTGAGAAGAAGGTATATTTCTACAGTAGTAAATGAACAAATTTTGACAAGGCAGGGAGCACCAACAGCAGCTAACTATGTCCCTTCATTGTACTGTTTCTATATAGTCATTTTTTTTAGTATGAGCTACAAGCAAGAGAAAATAAAGAGGTAGTGGACTAGCATGGCCAGCAGCAACCTAAAAAGGACCATTATTGGTTTCCTTGTTTTATACAAGGACATTTACCATTTTGTAGGAGAAAATGAAATCAGTTTGTGTGGCTCTCAGTTAGTCACTGTTACACTACTTTGACAAAGTCAGTGTGATGAGTAAAGTAGGGTAACCTGTTCTATGTGGTGTTCCAGAAGTAGTGCTGGCCACAAACAACAGTCCAGCATCATAGAAAACATTCATGCTGTCCTTTCCTCCACCTGGTGTGCAGCCTGTGTCATACGCCGCTATTATTTCCCAAATCTGCGCAGAGTGGAAGCAAATCAAAT